TTGGCAATTGCACTGTTTCAACGTGGACCTGTTTATTTTCTATAACCAGGTTACAGGCAGTAAAATACGCTCCCTTGACATGGCCAGCATTAATGTTTCCACATAGGGAGGGTCCTGTGTCACACTGAACAGCTATTTTTCCTTGGTTTCAACATTCATGTAATAACAACAATGCAAAGTAACATTTAATTACAGATGACTTCTTAAACAGATGTGTGCTCTTATCCACTTTTTTTTGTTCTTTCAGTTTATGATCTGTCAATAGTTCTGATATGCTTTTGCCAGGCAAAATCCAGAATTTTCCCTGGGAATTGGGTTCTGTATGCCCATATATTCTGGTCTTTAACTATTAAGTATTTTATATGCATTTTAGCTCACAAAACACAGTATGAAAGCCTACGAAAGACTAGTTAGAGTTCACACTAGCAGTGTAAAACTGATGTTGTTGTAACTCAAGAGTATGGCGATATCACACTGTTCCTTGGTCCTGCTCCAACATTTTATAATAGCTAGTGACCTCTACTTCTCCCAACAGATTCACCATTTTATTCAAATTTTAAAAGCTCTGATTTTAGCTACAGTCTGAAAGGATGAAGTCAGACTCCTCCTATATTGAGAATTGGGCTGCCTAGTAATTCTTCTCAAGGAGCTTAAGCTTATTTTCCACATAATTTTACTGGAGAGTAGCAAAACAATCATTTCTGTAACTCCTTATGGACAGAATGGGAGTGAGGGAGGAACATACTCTTACACAGCAGTTCACCAAGGGCCCAGACTTTCTACATGGGAAATAAACCTGGGAAAAAAGAACCTAACTGCTGTGTAATCCTACATACCAGGAGAATTGCCTTTCAGATAGTCTAGCTCTACCACCAACGCTGCAATGCTGTTTGTAGGCAGAATCCGCAGCTTGCAAGAGGGCCCTTGGGGGTGTGTGTGCAAGGACAGCTGCTTAAAGATAAATGATGTAGCAAATACAAGTGTTCAATAATGGCTTCACTTTCAGGATGCTGAAGAAGGTGGATTACTCTTAGTTTTTATTTGATTTCTCATTCCTAGTCTTTGTAAAGTCCAGTCAGACTGCAAAGTAAAGGATATTTTTATTTAAAGTCAGGATTCCTCTGGGACTCTGAAGATTAGGTGGTTTGCAATCCATATGGGCACACAACACAATTAAATACATTATGATACAGCCTATTGTAAAGATCACAATTCAGAGCTATTGCAGTCACTGGCAAAACCACTGTTGTTCTGCAATAGTCCACTTCTGTGCATTATCATGAAACTTTTTAAATTAAAGTGCCATTTGCCTGTGGGAGACTTGAGATTAGACCTGTAGCCAAACTATCTGGATATCCAACTGACATTTTAAGGTGTTACAGTAGGCATTTCACACTTCATTCTTGTAACTAACAGTTCTTAGATACCATTTTTTTTTCAGTGTTGGACAGCATGTTTGAGGAACACTTTTACAATTTCCCATTCTGTGGCTAGAAGTGTCACAGTCTGGCTTTTCTGAATGATAACAGAAGTTACTCAAGGATTGATGAGGCTGACACTGATTGGTCTTCTCATTTTCAAAACTGGAGAAATTGCCTGGATTGATTAGTGTAGGCATTTCCAGAAGTAGTTTGTGCAGGCATTACCACTGATGTCCCCTAGGCCTAAATGTAGGGACAGCATTTGGTTTTCTGAGAATAAGTCATAGAATCATATAATGGTTTGGTTTGGAAGGGACCTTAAAGATCATCTAGTTCCAACCCCCCTGCCGTCGGCAGGGACACCTCCCACTAGACCAGGTTGCTCAAAGGCCCATCCAGCCCAGTTTTGAACACCTTCAGGAAACATCCACAACTTCTCCTGGCAATCACCCTCACAGGAAAGAATTTCTTCCTAATATCTAGACTAAATCTACCCTCTTTCAGTTTAAAACCGTTACCCCTCATCCTATCGCTACTCTCCCTCATAAAGAGTCCCTCCCCATCTCTCCTGTAGGCCCCCTTCAGGTACTGGAAGGCTGCTATAAGGTCTCCCCAGAGCCTTCTCCAGGCTGAACAACCTCAACTCTCTCAGCCTGTCCTTATGGGAGAGGTACTCCATCCCTCTGACCATCTTGGTGGCCCTCCTCTGGACTCACTCCAACAGATTCTTGTCTTTCCTGTGCTGAGGACTCCAGAACTGGATGCAGTACTCCGGTGGGGGCGTCTCATCAGAGTGGAGTACTGGGGTAGAATCACCTCCCTTGAGCTGCTGGCCATGATTCTTTTAATGCAGCCCAGGATGCAGTTGGCTTTCTGGGCTGCCAGCGCCCATTGCCAGCTCATGTTGAGCTTCTCATCCACCAACACACCTAAGTCCTTCTCTTCTCAATGGGATGCGCTCAATCCATTCTCTGCCCAGTCTTTATTTGTGCTTGGGATTGCCCTGTCCCAGGTGCAGGACCTTGCACTTGGTCTGCTTGAACTCCACGAGGTTTGCACAGGCCCACCTCTCAAGCCTGTCCGTGTCCCCCTGGATGGCATCACTTCCCTCCAGCATGTCAACCACACCACACAGCTCTGTGTCACTTCCCTCCAGCGTGTCAACCACACCACACAGCTCTGTATCGTTGGCAAACTTGCTGAGGGTGCACTCTATCCCACTGTCCATGTCACCAACAAAGATGTTAAACAGCACAGGTCCCAGTACTGACCCAGTTCTGCCAGGCAGCTCTCCAGCCACTCCCCAGCCTGTAGCGCTGCAGGGGGTTGCTGTGACCCAAGTGCAGGACCCAGCACTTGTCCTTATTGAAACTCATCCTGTTGGTCTCAGCCCATTGATCCAGCCTGCCCAGATCCTTCTGCAAAGCCTTTCTACCCTCCAGCAGGTAGACACTGCCACCCAACTTAGTGTTGTCTGCGAACTTACTGAGGGTGCACTCAATCCCCTCGTCCAGGTCATTGACAAAAATGTTGAAGAGACCCGGCCCCAGTATCGAGCTCTGTGGGACACCACTCGTGACTGGCCACCAACTGATGTGGTCAGGCTCTTACTTCAAGATCTATCCTCGTCTCCCAGGAAGTCTCTCTATAATATGGCTTCAGGATCTTCCCAAGCTATTTTGCACATATAACTTTAGTCTGATACAGTAATACAAAATCATTACTGCAGTCCTAATCAGAATAATTAGGTCCTCTCTGAGACCCAAAAGTAACATGTTGCTAAGCAGCAGAAAGAGTGGATTCACCTCTATACTGTGAAAGTTTCCATATGGTGCCACCAGAAAACATATAGTATGGTATGATTTTCAGTTCAGCTTAATATTTTTGGGAAAGTCTATGAGGAACTTTAAGCCAATGTCTCTTTTCTCTGCTGTCAATGTAAAGCGTTATTAAAAAGTTCCAGAAATGATTAAACGGGATGGGGAGCTGTTCAGGTTAGATACTGATGTCACATCAGCCTAATGTTTCACACATATAAGTTTACAATTGCAATAGATCAAATAACAATCATAGCCTACCATGCTAATGGAAAGCAAAGCATATGGAGGACGCATGTGATCTATTTTAACATTTGGTTTCAGGTATGCACAGTGCCAGAAACCACAAAATGCCTCCTTCTCTTACATTTGCATCCACGATCTCCATGTCCTTGTCCTGTCTCACACAATTTATAGGCACACACATACACACTGCACTGAATTAAGCATCACCTTTTTGCTATTATAACTGTGTGCCCAGAGTAGATGCATGGATGCTTGCAAAAGTCTTTGGCAAAATGCAGTTCTACAAGCCAAAGTGTCCTTTTTGCAGGATGATGTGCTCCAACACAAGATTCCCTGCTATTGCACGTTTTCTAGAGATTAGGTGAACTTTCTGAAAGGTAGCTATGAAGAGTATGTGCAAATCTTCTCCCACACTCCCTTTTGGATTGTTATCTTATCTTGTGCACAAAAGAGGTTGATTTTCTTCCCAGAATGGGACTAGGAAACATATGCATAAAAGCTTTAACTCCTCTAGAGGATGAGAGCAGTGTAGTTATACTACCAATCCCCTTCAAATCCAGGTAGATGAGGGTGTACATGTAGGAGACTCAAAATATGGATTAGTACTTCTGACTTTAAAAATGGAGAAAGTTTTTTCTGTACTGTGCCACAAAAATCTCTTGCTGCCAAAGGACAATTAGAAAATCATGCATGTGCTTGGTTGCTGTGTTTTTCAGATAGAGCTGTTGCATGAGCTGAGATACGCTTCAATTCACAAGTAGTTTAACTTTTCCCTATTGGTGACACAGCTGAAGAGGATCATGTGTTTTGCACAGTCCATCATCTGTTTAGAATAACCTATATTTGGAAATGTATTTCCGATCCAGCCATGGATATGGCAGAATATAAATAACTCAGCTGTTTTTTGCTATTTTAAAGCTACCACATTTGATCTGTTGGAGATTTTCAGAGGCCCTTAGTGCACAAATGTAGTGAAGAACTAGTGTTATTGCACTGCTGCTACAGGTTTTTAGGCTTGCTTGTTGGTTTTGGGGTTTTTCTTTTGTGAATACCAAATTCTTATGGAATCATAGGTTATTATATAAATTCCCATCGGCCTTTTGGATGCATGGATGATCATACCTTGCAACACTATGCTTTTCACATGGAGTTAGATTAGACCCTTTGGGTGATAACATACCCCTGCAGTGCAGTCATGTAGTGAAAGGCCAGATGTCTATTTTGTGCAATTATGTACCATAAAAATATGAATCCCAAATGGTTAACTAAAGAACTTTGTCTCCTGCAACCATAGCAACTTTTACTGTGGCCATTTTATGGCCATTTACATTTACATTTGTTTAACTTTATTAACTTGTTCCATGTTTTCTTTTAATACGTGCTCAACCTCTATTACAGACACTACAGATGAAATACATGGAGCGCCTTTGTAAAAGAACTAATTAAAGTAAAACAACTGTTTTCAGTATATTGTGGGCAGTGAAGAATGATGTTCTGGATATCATCACACATGATATGTATTCATTGCAGAGAACAAATCTTTATTTGAATATAGTGAAGCAAAATATCCCCATTCATTATTTGATGTACACTAAATAACTTTGCATTTGTTACATGGATGATAAATATTTGGCAGATAGATTTATAAACACTTCCACGTTTTAGAGATTTATACTGTACACATTCATCCTACACAGAGCATGCCCTTTCACAAGTATACAGACAGCTTTCCTCAGGGAACTTAATCAAAACACTTGGTCAAACATTTTGAAAGTTGGCAATCTGACACAGAGGAGCATACTGGAAAGATGAGTTCACAATTGTACCAGCTGGACTTGAAATGAAAAATTCAGAACTCCAAAAGAGAGAATTTATCAAGGCACACACATGCAAACACATATATACAATAGTGATGACTGTAACCTGCTTTACAGGAGATCACACACAGCAGTAAAGAAACAAACAAAGAAAGAAACAGAGAGGTCAGGACCATTGCCAAGATCTTGTTGCAGATTAGCAGATCTGGAAGTAAACATGTGTAAATGGGAATTTGACTTCAAAGTAGCTGATTACTGTATATACAATATGTACATGTTTTCTTGTGTTAAGAAATGGAGACTGTCAGAAATGGTTATGTTTTTCTTGACAATATATGCACACTAGCACACCAGTGCTTTTGTACACTAAAGACAGTTTGAAAAATTGTACTCCTAGTTGGCTCAGAGCAATTGGCAATTTGAGTGGAAGTTTAGTAGGAGAAACCAGGAGCAGAAAATGGCTCACAAAAAACTAGCAAAGAATACATGTTTTCCTTCTGTTGCTCAGCATTAGAAAATGCTAACAAGTTTTTAAGAAAATCAGTAACTTGACAATGTCAGTAAATTACAGTGAAGGCAAAGAACTCTACTTTCAGTATCTCATCCTTGATGCCTGACTTCTGCAAACATGTCATTACACTGCAAAGGAAACTGCTCACTTAAAAAAATACCTAGTGATGTATAGTACATTGTGGCATATATTTGAGGCTAAGTATGAGATGCAATTTAGTTGGCACAACGTAGTGCAGCTGAGGGTAATACAGAAAAAAAATTAAGTGTTAATTGGTATTTTTAATACAATATTCTATGGTAAATGGCTAAAATTGGCTGTCAGTTGATTCATCAGGCTTGCAGCATGGGATGTTATTAAAAATCCTTTTAGTCTTTGAGAAACATTATATTCATAGGAAAAAGCCAGGCTAAAATTATTAATTTTAAAAATAAGGGCTAAATAACGTAGTTCTCTCACAACAGCAATTCCAGCATGACTGTATACGCAATCACATATTTAATATTTTTTAAAGAAAAAGCTGAGATCTTGATTCTGTGAATTGATTCATTGATTTAAATAGGGATCAGTTTACACACACAATACTAGTTTCGTGTAGCACTTTGTGTGATCCTAAACCACTAGGAAGACAATAAATGCAGTCACTAGCATGTTGGGGCATTTTTTAAACTCCTTATAAATGAGCTGGCTTTCCTATATCACTAATTTCATGCCTGCTCTCCTTTTTGCTGCAAATGTCAGTAAAGACTTTCATTTCACTAGTGAAGCACTAATAAAATCAATCTCCATATCAGAAGGGGTTTGTGACAGGAAGAAACAGGAAAGGGCTGTAAGGTTTGTCCAAAAAGATGATGGCAGGGTGTGTTTTGTAAGACCACTCTCCAAATTTTAATATTCTCTTTTTCCTTCTAAACTATTCATTTTAATCTATGTTTAACTTCCAAATAGAAGATAGTATTATCTACTGCTACTTTGAACCTGAACAGAAATTTTTTACTTTAAACTGTCCATTCATGACCACACTTAGAGACTATATGCTACGGCCTCACTCAGTGAGTATGTTTTCCTTTTGGAAAGACCCACTGTTTTCCAGAAGTACTATTACATGAGCATTGCTACCCTTTCATAGTTTCCTCCCAAATGTTTGTTATAGGCTGGTGGTATTCAGTTTATCAACTCACAGAACACATAGAGAAAAAAAAGAATTGCAGGCTGCTTGTGTGTATGTTTGGTTCTGTGTTTTAATGTGAGTATAGACATGGCTTTCCTACAGCAAATATACATCATTAAGTTCTTTGGAAGGAATACACCCTTTCTTCTGCTGACTTTTTAGTTCTGTAGCATGTATGCATGCGCCTACCAGAGGAAGCATGCTGGAAAGAGTGGATGTCCTGCAAAGACAGAAGGTGAAATGCAGGAAATAGCAGAGCTTTCGAAAGAGCTCTCCTACCCTCACTGCTCTGTGTGCACGTGCTGCCATTTTCACCCTGGATTTGCTCAAATTATAGCCACAGTTACTTTATACTGCACTAATTACTGTAGAAGATCTTTGTGGATGTTAATCATTGATTGAAAGACACCCTGGCAATGGCTCTGTTTCAGGCTGGTCAAAGATTGCTGATAACAACAGTAGCAAACAATTGTTTAGCCACATTACTAGGACGACTGCAGCTATGTATGCAGAAACATGTACAAATGAAAAACATACAACACAGGAAGACACAGACATTTTCTCCTATGTTACAAAGAAGTTAACATGTTGAAATTCACATGGAGCTTTTTGAAGGACTTCTAGTTGAATAAGACAAAATTCATAGCTTTTAGGATTTTATGTATCTGAGAGTGCTGTGTCTCTTAGTCACTGTAACATGACCAGTGCCTTTGCAGGATGTGCTGTTTTGCTGTTTGGCACAGTGTGGCAGAGGGGAAAAGGCTACAGCTAAGTTAGAGCTCATTTTTCAGACCATTTTAGCAGTTCCCTTCCAATGATCAAAAGGTAATGGCCAGCTAAGATGAATCTTGGCATCCCAACAATTTTGCACATGAATAAGTAAAGGGTTCTGCACAAAGAATGGAGCAGGATGTTATTTGTGTTCAAAGCATAATGTAGAAAGTGATACTTAGTATCATTGAGAATGGGACGAGAATATGGCTTGTAAGTCTTATGTCCACCTGTATTATAGGAAGGTTTGTGTGTAGATTTTGATTTTGATACTCACCCACACATGTCTGCATATGTATTCACGTCTGTGTCACACTTCTTTACAATATACAATATTATATAGCTGCAGGCTAGGATTTAAGGAAAACAGCTGACAAAAATAAAAGTAATTGAAACCTAGTCCTTGAAATCTTACTCTTCATGGTTTTCTTTTAATTTTATTCTATTTATTATTTCTTCCTGATGCTCTTCTTTCAAAGGGTCAACTTTTAACTGGGTAAGACAGGCCTACATGAAATTCACAAGTGACTTTTATCGCATACCCGGTGGGGAACAGGCATATATTACAAGGCAGACATTAAGAGGATAGAAGACATGTATTATAGGTTAGAAAACATGCATTATTATCAGAAAGAAATGCTAGGTGGCAACAGATGAAACTGGAACACATAAGAAATTGGACTCCTGCAGAGTCCTGTGCTTGTGATGAGTTGTGTGTGCTGTCCATTAGCAACAAGTTGCTTCAACTTGCTTGGTCAGGACTACTGGTGAAAACTGAGTAGCAGGTGGTAGATGTCCAAAATGAGAAAGTAAGAGACTGAGCGAAAAAGCAGATCTGGAGGACCCAAAAGAAATGAGCTTAGGTAGCTAGCCATGGAGAGAGTGATGAAAGCCAGCCTGCCAGCAATCTCTCCCTTACTTACAGACTGATGTGTCTGGCTACAGCTCAGAAGTGTTGATGGCCACAGCAGGGACAAGACCTCTACAAATCTTCTTGGTTATATGGCATTAAAATGTATATTCATGAATACTCTAGGTGGAAAGGACAATACTTTTGTGTTAAGTCATCCTCATCCAAACACCTGTGTCGTTAAGTAATCTTCAATCTTTGGTTATTGGACTGCATAGTCAGAAGCGAGCAACATATTCTAGACCTTTGTCAAGTAGGGAAGATTGTTTACCCCAGAAAGCAATTACACCTGTATTTTTCCCCATTTTTTTCCTAAGTATTTGGTTCCTAGTAAATGTTTCTTGTGTGTATGCTGTGCGAGGAGGCTGCCAATAATTGCTGCTTTATTGATTTTCAGTTAGACAGGAGGTACTCCAAGGGCTAGAAAACATGGCTGCATATTACAAGCCAGCATCTTTGGAGGTAATTCAAGCTAGTATCAAATAAGAAAATTAATCAGGTATATTTTAACTTTTGTCTGTTTCTGACATGCTAAGTCACTGTATCAAAGAAAGGTCCTGAATGTGGATGAAGTTATTTGTAATAATCTTGTGCATCTAGAGTAGGAGTAAATATCGAAGGATTCTTCCTTTGCAGGAAGAAGTACAAAATAAACAGAAGAACAAAACTAAAGAATGCAGATAACCATAATGGATCAAAAAACTATTTTTCCTCACTTGGTTGAAATTATTAACATTAAAAGAAAGCAAATGAGACTGATTTCAGCATATGGACTGGTTGTAGACCAGATGAGAGTAAGTGAAAGTAAGGGAGATCTGTAAGTAGCATTATAAATTGGTGCTTTGTATTTAATTCAGGTTCTGAACTGAGTTCCAGATTTTCTGGCTAACATGTCTCTGCAAATTCCACATTACTGCCTGATCCCTGTCTCACTTCCAAACTGCAGGCAAAAGTCTGTCTTTTCATGCTGCATTTCCTGAACTAGCAGCATTGGAAAGTACTAATTCAGGCAAATACCTAATATTTTACAGTGAGTTTAATGAACAAGTAGGCAGGAAATGCAGGGGAAAAGCAGTCTCTCAGACATGTTTTCTTCTGGAATACGATTATCAAACATGTGTTTTCTTTCAAGACTCCAGAGGAAGTGGAGCATTTCTGTTTTCACTTCTTGTGTCTCTGACCCCCAGAGTGCAAGGATTCATTTTTTAACATTGTGATTGAAATTTCAATTGCATTTCCAGGTTATTAAACAGGAAACATGGCTTGTAGGTTGTATTAGCATGATATCATCTTGTTTAGGTAAAGAGGTGCGACTGGATGTAAACATCTTCCTCTGACTAATTAAGATAGTTTTAAAACTCACAATGGAGAAGAGAGCTAAAGCCCAGCACAGAGAGGTGGTCCATATGAGGGGATGAGGACTACATTCTATTGCTAAGAAGGGGATCAGCAATTGTGCTTCAAGAGCAATTACATGAAGATAAGTCTCCATAGTGGTAGAAAAAGAAAACAAGAACAGATAATAACATTTCCTCCAAATGTAGCTGAGCTAGGTGCACTGACGACAAGACTCCGCCATATCTGCACCCGCAGCAGAAGGAGACCAACAGGGGCCTCTCTGAGAGAAGATCCCTCCTTGTATTAGCTCAGCCTTCTGCATATGTAGGGAAATGTGGATTCTGGCTGCCTTAAGAGGGTGGTATTGTCTGTAGGACTTTTGAGTTTGTTTTCCATGTTGGTTTAAAAAGGGATGGCCAAATTGCAAAAGATATGTGGCAAACCTTCTTACTGAATGTTACCATGAAGTCAGAAGCAAGTGAGAGCAGGAGCAGCAAATTTTGACTTTCTTTAAGATTGGCCCTCTGGTGAGAAAAGCAATTTGGCATGGAATGAATGGAATGGCATGAAGAGAAAGAGATCAGACCTTGAGGGAGCAGTCTTTCTTCAGCCAACTTTTCTAAGATGATGAACAAAGAATAGATTACTGAAGCCATCACGAAGGAGGGTTAACACTTTTTCACCTGTCAAAGTTTTGTAGTACACACTTCTGGAAGGGCACTGGCTAAAATCAATCATAGAGGAAGAAAGCTTCCTGGTATATCATTAATTAGCAATCCCCTACAGCACTTCAGAAACCATGAGCACCTAGTCTGGTTTCCTTGCTAGGTGTCCGTATTCACCAATCAATACAATGCATACCAAATGTAGTAGTGTGTGCTCCCAGCCAACAAAATGCTAACATGAATATCGCCAATCTGGTTAAAATGTACAAACACAATAAATAAGATGCTTCCAAGAAATTAGAGTCTGCTAAATGAAGCTCTACTGACTGATAACATGTAAGGAGTAAAACTAATAAAATAAAATTTCTTTGCCAAAAATGAAAACACACGATCTCTTTTGCAGAGAAGTTTCAAATTTTCAAGTAGACGACCATCATGGTTAATACTATTGAAAAAGCTGTCAGTCTTCTCTGTCTTCAGGGGATCATTGTACTTTTTGTCAGTGCTCTTGTTGGGATGAGCCTTTCCGTTTTGAGGAGAAGAGCACTAGACCTTATATCCCACTTCATTTCCAATTAGTGGTCAGTCAGTTCAATGATCAAAACAGAAAAATAAGCAGTTTTGATTACATGTGTTTGATAGCTCTGATACACAAATGTTATCAAGTTCCATTCTCTGTGGTGTATCAGAGATCTAAACGGGCCACAAAGTGACTCTTTGTGTGAGATATAACTGAACAGACACAGAAAGAAAGTGCAATTCCTACTCTGCAGTATTTATTACCTGAGTTTGCTTTGGAAGCTGCAAAAAAAGACAGATTCACTAAAGACCAGCCGAATCACTTTAGCTTATAACTTAAGTAACATTTGTGTCCAGATCTCCATAGGTTAAACATTTCTGTTCCAGCCGGTGGATTGCACCTATCTAACCAAGTATTTATAGCTTGAAATTGCATTTGCTTCTTTTGCCTTTATGAGACGAATCTTACTGCACTCAAGCCAAACAATTTATTGTTCAGTTTTGATGCTGGCTTGTGCACTGGTTCAAAACTGTTGAGCCAATTGGCTCACCAGCTAGGGAGATTAGAGCTTTAGGTTTAGGTTAATATGTTGGAAATATTTGTGTGGATTTTTTTCTTTGTTTATCTCTTCCATTTACTTCTCTCCCCTTTCCTATCTGCTATTTTTCTTTTTTCCTTTTCCTAGTTTACAACTTTCCCTCTAATCCCAGACCAGGCAAGGCCTGTGGAGTTGGAAATTTTGTTCATGTTTACTAATTCCTGTTGTCGCTCTGTTCCATTTCATCCAAACTTAACACATACGTTTGATGTAGTCATGATTTAGGATAAGAATCAGCATCGAAATCATCACAATTATATATGTAATGAGATTTTAGTATGTTAACCTTGAACCATAGCCCTCAGAAGCTGAACCTTATTTTTCTGTGGCCCATTTCCTCCACACTGGTCAGGTGGCATGAAGCATTGGATCTGGATGTTCTTCAGAATTACATACAGAAACAGACAGAATATACTACTTTTAAGTGGACAGTGCATAGCAAGACAATGTAATATTTTACCATTGCTGTTGATGTTTACTCCAAACGTGTACAGAGGCTTCAGATTTCAAAATTTTTGCAGTAAGTACAAGGAAGTGGACACATGCTATTAACGAATGGCACAGAGAAACAGGGCTCAAATATAATTCTCATTAGAAAAAACAGCCTTGAAATAATATTAAGAGTATGACTAGTGGACAAAAGCCACAGATGCATAACTAAGGCTAGCATTTTGTTCTTAATCTGGAGCTTTGTGAAAAATAATTCTTCCTCTTTCCTTTTTTCAACAGAGTTCAGAAATTTAAAAGACATGGTTAAGTCAGATTTAAATATAAAATATTTAATTTCCAATACCTTGACTGTTTATATTGCAAAATAAACACACTTCATAAGCTTTGTTTCTTACTACATCATATTTAAATGATCAACATCAAAAAAATGCCCACTAGTTTTCCTTACTTACGCTTTTTTTAATTCAGCCACTTTTGTCATTTGTTAATAGCAGAAAACCACGTGTTGGGCTAACATTTTGGTGCTATGATGTGTAGCACAGGCATTTCTTAATAACTGAAAAATGTAGCTTCTAAAATCAGTAGAATAAACAGTGAATTTTAAATGTAATGTATGATATTCTTATTTGGACTTTTACTGACTCTTTCAATATGACTAAGATCGTGATAGACACAGAATGCAGCCATAAATGTTACTACCCAACTAAGTTCACATATATGAGCAAGAGAAAAAGTAACAAATGAGAAAAAAAATCTATTTTACTACTTGACGCAATGGCCTTACCTAAAAGCCCAATTTCTTTGGCAATGATACAACCACCTAATAAATGTTGTCAGATATAAATAGAAAAAATACTGATAAATTTAGCCTTATGTTTTATAGTAATTTTTTTCTTTGAAACTTGAAACTGCAGATAGTTCATCAGCTGATACAAGTTGTTTTATTTCCACTGAAAGCAATGCCAGTTTCTCTCATCAAAGGTTCTGCCCCTTTTGTCTGCCAATTATATGGACATATTTCTATTTAATTTCCAGGGCTAACATTTTAAAGAGTTCCTATAGCCTTTTTCACAGCAGGAGGACCGGTGAGGAACTCTTTAATGTAATCCACAACAGTCCACAGAATATGGCTTAGAAGGAATATATTCACCACCATTTATCATCCATCCTGCACTTTGTCTAATAAAGACATTACCACTCCCTACAGCCTTGGCATGGCTTCTTTCTTAGTGGCTTTTCAGAGTGACATTTGAAAGTGTTAAATGGAGAGAGATCTCTAGAACTATTAAAAATCAGCTGAGAAAAAGTTTATAGAAAGAAGTGTATGAACTGTGAAAATAATGGTGATTATTATTGCTTTTCTTTGTTTTTTTTTTTTAAATATTATTTTAAAAAAATTAATCATTTAAAATGTTTTAATTGCATTACATTTTGTATTGAAGTTATGACCAGGCTAAATTTACTAGGTGGCATTTACCGCCACAAATTTTTATAACCATTCTGTCACAAAGAAAAATGTATTAGAAATGTAAATACAAAACAAACTTTTCTGAAAGCATCATACTTTTCATATAGTTCACTGACCTGAATTTTCCTTTATTCACACTTACAACAACATAAATATTTGCATTGATTGACTCCTGGAAGAGTGACAGATTCACTGTTTTAAAGTGGCAAAAATATACCAGATGTCGCAAATGAGAAGAAAACTTTTTTTTTTTTCCTGGAGGATCAGCAGCAAAGAGCTCTAGTGCCTCTTTTGTTATTCTCTTTGCTGCTTATCCACAAGGTGTTTTCATCTCCTTGTGGTAGCTGTTGCCTTCCCCTCAGCAAATATGGGGTGTAGTTGGTCATCTTTACTTTAGATATTGAATTTACCTAAAAAAAAGTTTCCCAAGAAAGAGGCATTGCCACAAGATTTTACCATCTAAGCACATCTGCAGAAGGTCAGTATACTCAATACTGGTGCAGTCTGTAGATTTTCCGGATTAATGCCACATGCATTGATAAATGTAATCTTAACATTCTCTGCACCAATACTGCTAAGTAATTGACTTGCATGTCTGTACTGTTACAAAAGCTCACAATGGCATGGCCAAATCCAGCACATATTTTTAAATAATATGACTTCTTGCATTTTAGATGTTTAATTATCAGTATGGTTTTTACCTTCCTGGACATGTCACTGAAAGTGTTTTAAGAGGTAGCTTTGCAGTTTGAAGTTAAGTGGTTTTGAATAGCAATGTATGCAAGCAAACAAAAGCGAAATTTAAAACTTTCATCCAGAGGTTTCTAAATCTCTGCCACTCCAGAGTATCTTTTGAGTTTGATTTCTGACATCTGAACACTCTAATAAGCATTGAGAATCTGAAGCCTTTGCACCATCAGTCAGGAGAGTTGACATTTGTACGAAAAAGGAAATACATAGTAAATGGCTTTTTCCAGTTACATCAACACCTGGGTTCTTGTGTCAGGAAGCCGAAGTCCTACCAGACCTCCACATACTAGAACAGTAGAAGCAAGGAGGATAGGGATTGCTTTGGTGATACCAACAAGGGAACCAAATATTAAGTTTCCAAGTACAGCTGCTGCTTTGCATAGTGCATTCAAAAACCCGAAGCCTGTTGCCCTAGAAGGGAAGACAGAAGAAAGTTAAAAAATGGGTGAAAGAGTACAGCCTTTGAGACAAATCCTTGGTGGGGATAAATCAAAATAGCCCCAACGTCTAAAACAGGGTTCTGTGCTTGTCTTTTTATAATACGAAATTAAAGCTCAGCTGCTACAGTACTTTATTGAAGCAAATTCATTCTGCTGCCTCAGGGACCAAAATGTGAAATGAATGACTGAATAGGTAACTTTACACCTCTACAGCAGAACAAAGAACTTGCAAGTGGAAATTCAGTAACACTTAAAATGCTGGGTTGGGAGACAGGAGGTGGGAAATATTTTGAGAGCTACTTGGTGATTTGGGAAAGAAGTCACCAGAATAAAAGGATGTTCATCTTGGGGTACTGAATGGAAATGGTTTTCTTAACAGGTGGTATACATGTTCAATCAGTGCTTTCTCAAAAGGCAAATGAGACCACCAATAATAATGAATGTTTGTTAAAGAGAATAGAGCATAACAAGGCCCTGCTTGGTTCAGGGTCTGAGAAACTTTGCTAGAAGGGGAAAGAAAGTAGATTTCCAACAAAAAGTATGACTCGGGCAACTCAGAGAGGCTTTTGCATTGCAGTGCTATGATTTTAGTAGTCTAGATTAAGTATTTCAGATATTTGATAATCCATACATACACGTATTATGCAAACTGTGATCATTTTAATAAATTGTGTTTTGACATGACTGTATGATTCATAGTTGCAGGAACAACCTTGTCCTACCAAAAGTGTCTTAAAAAAAATATCTGTACGATCGTAAAATCTCTAACATTTCTCAAATCGCTTAGAGGTGAGAGAAGGACTGTGCTGGGCTCACACTGTGCTCACTGGAATAAAATAATAAGAATCAGGAGGATAGAAACTTCTTTTCAGAACAAAATGTTTCTTTCTTGTTAATGTGAAATACTGCCATTAGAAGCAAAAAGCCTCCAGTCTAAACAGCAGGGATTAACAGAAATGCTAATGGTTTGAGTGAATAATAAGAGCCCTAGTTATTGTACGGAGGTGCATGTGAAGGGAAGGAAGAAGTCTTGTCCTCAGATGTAGCCTGACTTCTTAGGAAGTAATTTTGAGAAACTTTTACCAGAGGTCCTAAAGAGCAGCTCAGAGGTCAACTTGAAGTAAGGAGGCTTGATCCCCACTGAGAGAAAGGATATAAACTCTCAATGTTATTCACAGAACTATTTTTTTTCTTCTCATAACAGCAAATCATGGAATCAAGGGAGAAGAGATCCTCTCCCTCAAGCAATGATGGACATGGCCACAGCCAAGAGTGTTATCTCTTCTGCTCTTCTGCAAATCTGGCTGCTGAATCTCACTAGTGTTGACCTGTCCAGCCCTTTGGTGTTCTATATCCAAATCTTATACTGTGGGAAATGTAAAAGCTTCTGTCTAGTGTAGTTGACCAGGATATAGGGGTTTTCAGCACTGTCCATGTCCTGACTATCTGATGTGCTATGCTTCAGAATTATACCAGTCCTGGTATATTTGAGGACCTGCACCAGTGGAGTGGCGAAGGTAGGTCTAGATCCTTCTAGGATATTTCTAAACCACTCTAATTTGCTCTAAGAAACAGAACTGCAAGTTAACCCACAGAGTCAATTCCAGAATCTGAACAAGATTCAGAAATGTGCTAACTTAAAGTAACGGTACTTTGAATGTCAAATTCTTAAATCAGTTAAAATGATGTTTGCAGAACAGAATTAAAACATGGAACAGATTAGCTAATATACCTTCCAAAAGTTTTTTTGTTTTTCTGTTAATGTTAAATATTCGTTTGTCCATGGTTGCAGACCAAAGTGAAACTTCTTTGCCTAAAGCATTATGGAAGTAAAATTAGAAGAGTTAATACTTACTGTTCCAGTGTCACCTCTGTGTATTGTATGCCTTTTCTGACCCCAGGAGAAGATATAAGTTAGTCTCATTTGGTGGGTGGTTATAATCATAATAGATGTATTATTAGTTTGGCTATATGTCTCTTACAATTGACAGCAGTGTTTCAGTCTCTTTAAAATACCTGAGAATTTAGCAAAGTAATTATTAATTTGCCTGAAGTAATCATAGTGCCTCTTTGTGCTAAATGTGGCACCTGTCCAGATACTGCATGACAGTAAGTATCAGCAATATCTAAAGAAGGAGGGACAGGTCATTCTGATGGCAAAGCAAAAACTTATTAGAAACACTATGAAAAAAACAAGCAGAAGACTCAGATATGCCTTCTCTATGTTGAAGACTTGCTTTTTTTTTCTTTTTTCCTAGATTTGATTAAACCTGCAGTGCTTTTACATATTTATTATTGCCAAGAAAAGCTAAACATGCACATCCTGGAGATAACCACCTACAAAGTGACATGATCTGCTGTCCAACAGTGCACACCAGTGCTGGTTGCCTGAGACCACACTGCTGAAAGCAGATAAGGAAATTTTGGAAGCGTTGTTTGTGAAGCTTTCTGACAGGGAGACATTTGCAGCAGCTCTTTGAAAATGCCTTTCTCAGATGAGAAAGTTTAAACTTGCTCCTTTTAAGGAAGACTTTTGGAGGAATCATTCCAAAGGAGGAGTGGGAGATGCACTGGAGGAAGCCGCAAACATCCTCCCTGAGTCTTTCAAAGCGTATGAGAAGGTCAAATCTCTATCAGAGACAACTGTACTACAAGGGCAGATAAAGTGGAGCATCAGAAGAATATCTGGAGGAAGCCGACCAGGATGAGGAGAAGAAAATGAGAGGGAAGGAGTTCCAGACTGCTGCATCTTCTAGGGTGAATTAGAGTGCAGATAGGAAGGAGGAACGTGAAGAGGAAAAACTGTGGTAAAATAGACTTTATCACAGTCTGGAAAACAGAGTTTATGGGATGGGATAATAACAGGCTGCAGCTTTTTTTAAGAAGTCACGGGAAGAAGGAGAGGAAAAGAGTCAGAACTGCTGTAAATTTGGCTTCATTTATGCACAGAAAATATTTCTGAAGTTATGGTGGTGATTGGTTGTGATCAGTGTTTGCAGATGTAAATACAATTTCTTCAGCTGCCAGGTACTGATGTAAAACCAAACTTGCCCTCAAATAACAGTAACAGGAAAAAACCTGTTCACATAGGGAAAATAGACACTTAGTCATCAACAGCTTCAGCATATTCAGAGAGATACCAGAACTCCCCAAAGAATACATAGATCTAGCTAGCGCAAATTCGAGTAGAGACAGGCAAGAAATCTTTGGAAAGACAGTAGAACAAAACATATGGGGATGCTTTACTAATATTCAGTGTTGGTTGATGCTGTCCAAAAGAGGTAAGCTGTTTCACAGATGCTATTTACTTATATCTACTAGTTGCAGTAAGGGTGTGAATACTATTTTCTGAGCAATTTGGAACACTTTTCTTTTCATGTGCTAGGCTCTACAGATAGCACATTTGGGGCTGCCACTGTGATTTAGATCTATTATAAGTTATATACCCAAGATTGTGTTATTAAGGTTTAAAGTAATTTTGTAATACAATATCTCTTATATCTGAGCAAAATTAAGGTAATTGTTGGCACTGGAAAAACAGCTCTGCTTTCTAAAATGGCCTTATTAAATTTTTCCAGTTGTAAGGGGTTATTATTAGTCTAATCCCATTAATGCTATCAAATTAAAAACAAAGAAGAGTAAGACAAAGTCAGCCCATTTTTATTGCCCTTGGCTGTCCTGATGAAACAAAATGAACAACACAGCAGAAGTTCAATCTTTTGATCTTTAAGCAGTTTTCAGGCATGTCCTTTTGCCTAAAGTTTGCACATCGTTGGCAGGAACAGTAAGATTTTTATGGGCTTAAGTAAAATGTTGTTGCAACCTATACCTGAAAAACATTGTCACTATTCAGACTTCTGCCTTCATATCCTTCAATTTTTTTACTGTGTTTGAATGTGAATTTCTTGTTTACTAATAGTCAAAACAGTAGTTAAGCAAACTGTTATATCTAGGGATAGCAAATTCAGACTTGTTCTTTTTTAAATATCCTTCTTAAAACGGTTTTTGTGATTCAAATAATCTAAAATCTATATTCATTAATGCCTTTATAATTAATTCTACTGAATCCAGGGGAGTAAAAATAGCCAGGCAACAGATATGCTGCAATTCACATACATACAAAACCATAGTCTTCTCTTGCAGCAGTAGTACAGTCTCTGCTACAGTGTTTCAGGGAAGTGCTAGAGTGTACAAAAGTCTGAAAATGATCATCTCACCATCATGAATTAATTAAGTGCAAAAAAATCCAAAGACATAAGGCCATCACTAAATAAAACAATTTCTGTTATGTTGATCACTCACTGGGTAAAGCACTGCAACAAAAATGGGTTTTTTGACTCCAAGAGCAATCCTTATTACTGGTAAAAGGAGTTCAGCAGCAAGAATCCCTTGTCCAGCTAGAGAATGTCATTAAATCCTTCAGGCACATTAGTAAGGTAATGCTGGTGAATCAATTTGACATTGCATTAAAAAAAAAAAGGTACAGATCTTTGTATTGACTATGAAAGTGTCATGTCTGAAATAAAGGTGGATATTAGGTAAAAAATTTTCCCTATGTATATGACTTCTGTTGCTGCAAAAGCTGTGACAAAGAAAAAGCTTAGCGTCTTTTCACCCAAGCCCCACATAAAAATGGCATGAGTCCAAACAGTTAAAAATAGAAGGATTATCCAAGCCTTTGGATTAAAAGAGCTTGTTTCCTGGTTGCCACATATGCTCCTTCTTAGATCAGGTGCCTATATTCCTACATAAAATACTTTAGACCCACTTTTCCACTGCTGATAGTCAGTGGATAGCACTTAAAATTTTTGTTTTCCTGCACTGGAGTGCTGCTGAATGTGTAGCACAGATATTTGACAATTTTCTTGCCAGAGCTAGTGCTGAGTCTATCCAGCAAGTTTCAAAAAACTATGAATGTAACTTTTGTGGGTGTTGATAATATGCAAAAGCTATTAAAACTAAGTTTCTGAA